ATTCCAGTTTGAATGACTGAAAAAAAGAAAAACCAAACCAAAAACAATCCACCCCCCAAAACCCCAAACAAAACAAAAACCAACCAAATCTCACTTAATACATTAAAGTAAGAGTTTAAACTTGTTAATTTTTAGTAATCAAAGAAATGCTTAGTTTTAACATTTGGATGCTATCACTTAGTGTTATGGATGATGTTCTTTGTGATAATGGCTTTGCCAATAGCTGTTTTGGAGTCCTCTGTATCAGAAGTCACCTTCCCCTAGGCATCTTACCTACAACTTCCCTGTTTATATTCTTTGTTCTCTTGCATGAACTATTAACCCCTGGATCTGACTTGCTAATGTATCCATCAGGAGAAAGTACTGACTTCCTGATTTATCCGTGAGAAAAACAATATACCACAGCAATACAACTCCATTACCCTCCCTTCACCTAGAAAGCCACCAAGGCTCAGATATCCAGCTGGCACATGATGACCAAATCTTGATATTATACAGAGACAGTTATTCTCATAGTCCCAAGTGTTGTGGTAGAGCAGCAAGAATGAATTCTCTTTTTCTTTACCAAAATGATACCGTAATTACTTAAAATTCAAGGGGAGAGAAGGATGTACATTACTCCCCAATAACTAAATTAATAGACCTGTCTTTTGAGCACAATCTGGTTTAGTTCTAATTCTTCCCAGAATAGCCCCACTAAGTTTGGATGGGAGAAAGCAAAAAGGTTTAAAGGCCCTCAGCAGGAACCAGTCCCTCCACATAAGCAGTGCGGCCTAGTCTCTTGGGTTGGTCTCTTCCCTCACTGGAGGCAGGGTAGAATTGGGCATTTTTTGCCCTTTCGTTACTGCAGCACAGACCCTGCATGTCAAGGGGTATTCTCCCCATTTCATGGAAATGACAAATCAGCACAAATCATGGCAGGAGCAAGGAGCTCCTCAAGCTGGTGTAAAGCAATGGTGTACAAAATGCGCTACCCATTAAAATATGTAACTTGTCCACCTGAAGCTGGGTTGTGAGCAGGCACTGGAGGGCCACTGCTGATGTACAACTGGAGGACAATATTTCTGCTGTTTGCAGTACTGGGGATGAGAGAAACTATATAATGACCGCTGATGAAGGATAACTTTTGTGAGTCACATAGGAGAAGTACAGTAAATGATTCTTCATACCTCCACAGAAAGGCGAAATGGGAGTGCTACCAGAGTTCCTAGATAAACAAATGTTCGTATTTGCAACAGTTTGCAATGCAGTGGAGCTAGCAGCAAGTTTTTCTGAGTGAGGTAGTTGAATGACCTGGACCTCCTTTTACTCTAGTTTGTGTAAGGTTTTACAAATGTACATTGACTTGCATATCAGCAGGGAGGTCACAAGAATAGTGTTCATAAAAGCAGACCAGATTAAAAACACCTCCCGTACATTGCTAAGGCATTACGGGCACAAATACAAATCACAAGGGGGCTGAACAGAACATAACCTTCTCTGGTGCTTCAATCCCTACTGCCACACTGAAGTGTGGCCTGAGGAAAAATCTCTTCCTAAGCTCCAGTCCTAACCCCATCTACTTCCCAGAAGCTTTCTGCTGACTTCAGGCTGAACCCAGGAAGGATCCTGTAAGGAAACTTGTGGCAAAGAGCCCTAAAGGCTTTCTGGATGCACACAGACACACTTCTCTGTCACACAACATGAACCCTTGCCTCAGTGTTACAGTGAGCTGAAAACTCAAGAAGAGGTGACACAGATCAGACTGTGGATCTAGCAGAACTCATTTTTTGCTTTGATAATATCTAGATAGTAGTACTTAAGAGACCAGAGTTTACATTTTTATGGTTGAGTAAGCACTTAAGACATAAAAGAGTAATGTCATCAAAGATGCAGAGCAGCTCTAATGCTAGATGTTAATGAATGTATGTTGGTTTAAGAGATATTTCAACATCAGACCAATACAGTCTCTGAAACTAATACATCTGAAGCCTTACAGGAGCAAAACCAGATTAGGGTACCGAAGTTCTTTTACAAAGGAATAAAAGTTTAAGATAAAGGTCATTACAGTGCTGGTATGCACTGATTTGCCCTCATCATTTGCAGAACTGTGTCCAACCATAAACAGTGGTGGATAACAGACATTGAACAGAAACTGTAGCTGGCGAAAGTCAGAGAATCTAATGCTTACATGGTTTTTATTATTTTGCTTGTAGGACTTTGCATAATTTTTGCTGTTGATGTTGTTTCAAATCAGTGCTTCATGCTTAAGTGGACTACTAGCAGTATATTCTCCACTGTCATCTGGGAAATAAGAATAACCAGTGATAATGCAGGCACTTTCAGCAGAAGACATGAATGCCTTAACTGAGTTGACAAACATAAAACTCAGCTCCAAGTTTATCTATCACCCCTACATTTCTAACACATTTTGAGGCAGAGCCAAAATATTCATATTGAAAACCCTAACAAATTGTTGAAACATCAAAAACCCCAAACACACTTTTCTCAATGAAATATGTTTGAATACACTGAAATAAGCCAACAAAAAAAACACACAAAAAAGCAAAACCCCATTCTGCTACACCTGTTTCTTGCACTTTTGATGTCAGTGTAATTAAGTTCTGCATATCTTGAGGAGCTGCTAGAGAATTAGAGACTAATCTGTAACTCTTGTAAATTGTCATAGTTCCTCTGAAATAATTGATGTTTTGACAGTTTATACCAGCTGCAGAACTACTCTTTGTGTTTAATAAAAGACACACTGTTGTTAAATTAAAGGGCAGTTCATAAGAAGTCTCCACAGCTAAAGGAGCAATAGTAATTTTTTGTTCTTTTAAACTCATTATGAACTTCAACATGAAAAGCTACCTTTTGGTAAAGACTGTTTAAGTTTTTCTAGCTGAAGGAGACAGTCATATGTATCCTAGTCAACTTAATTTTGAAGCATGGCCTTCACGCTGCAAGGTAGGTTTTGAGAGGAGAAGTAGGGAGTACCTATTAAAGTATCATCAGAGCACTGCGGTAACAGGTGAGAAAACTGAGGGCAGTCAGAGAAAACAAAAGCTCGATATAACAACAACAGAAAATCAATCCAAATATCTCAGTCAAAGTTTTCAACTAGCCTAGAAGAGTGAAGAAGGGAAGAGACCATATATTATACATATTAGTTTCTGAAAGTAGTCACTTGCTCTGTATCATGTTTCTAAGCACAGAATTGCAGGAATGGTGTTTTTCTACCCCCTATTGTGCTGTGAAGACAAATATGCTAAAAATAGAGGCACAGACATTGTAGTGATTAGATAGTACTTAGAATAAATAACTATTAGCTTTAGATTCAAGCATCTAAATAGAAGGATGCTGAATTTTCAGTAGTTGCCTTTAGTGTAAATGTAGATGCCCCTTTCAAAACCTGATTCAAAGTCTTGTTAACTTACATAGTACTAAGCAGCGAGTCTATGTGAAAGAGTGACTTTAGCATCTGAATTAAAATACCTTCTCAAGGGTATGGACAACCACTGGGCTGCCGGCCCACCCTGGGAATATCCGTGGCAGCAGCTTCAAAGGGGTAGAGTTCTGCTCCCACCACATCTGTCACATCTGGCAGCAGTCAAGAGCTGTCCTGAAGCACACCTGCACCCTGCAGTCAATCCCTCTGCTCACAGGGATGTCTCCAGTGCTGACTACAGCTAGGAGTCAAGTATATGTGCAGAGAGAGGAACAAAACCACTGGACTTTTTTGCACCATCAGACTAGTAATAGGAAGCTATTGCATTTTTTGTGGCCTTTGACCAATTGCACCAGATAGTCTTCTTTTTGTTGGGAAGAGAATGTCTCACTTAATTTGAAGGTTTTGGTTACAGACTGATTTAAGTTCTGATGTTCACACAGGATGAAAGGAGGCATCCACGCACCATCCAGTTGCAGTGGGAAACCCAAACCTAACATTTGCAACAGTCTTTGGAAAATAAATCCCAAATCCAGAGCCAGCCATAGGTGTAAGGCATTTTTAAAAGACCCCCAGTGAGAGCTTTGTAATTAAAAATTGCAGGAAATGACTCAGACATACTTGGAATTTTAATTTTCCCTTAGTTTCTAATTTAGCCAGAAGGAATAAATTAGTCCTGAGCTAGGAATATCTACCATCTTTGAAACCTGGATATTCAGAGAGCAAATAGCTCTCCATGGAGAAGGTCCCAGCTGAAGGATGTAAATGGTAAACTGCATGGAACACCATTTATTTACACTATTTTGGAAACATGAAAGTTTGAGCTGACCCTCCTATGATTCAAATCTGAGTTTACAGCATCATTCATCGTCTCAGAAAGGGTTTGTTCCAGTCTCCTTGAACAGAACTATTTTCTCCTCACATTTGCTGCACAGAATTGGCTAAATTTCAATTCCAGGGTGTATCGTACAAAGAACAGTTTTGGAGTGAAAGGTGCCAAGCTGGCAAAAATTGAAAATTAGATTGGTGTAAAATTGAGGGGTTTTAATATAGAAAGTGTTTTGTTTTTCCTCTGTAATATAATTTAAAGTCACATAATAATCACGTTTCTTGGCTATGGAAGTAGGTTTCATCTCCAGCTGGATGAGATAAAGAATGTTAATAAGAAATTATGCAACAAATAAATGGAATTTGTGTTGCGTGCAGTAGGAAAATACATCTCTCAATGCTGCATGTTTGCCAGTATCCACCTAGAGGTGCTGTCAGGGAGATCACTGGTAACCAACTTGCTGGGCAACCTCTGCTTGATTTTGATCATATATTAAAAGCTACTTTCTGTTTTACTGGGTGATCTTACCAGTGACCTAACAAGAGTAGAAACCAAAAAGTCTTCTAGTAATTTTCTTGAGTCTCCTTTAGCATCTGGGGTACTGTGAGGAGCTGAAGGGGGAACTCGAAGATTCTCCTGCCTAAAAATTACTCTTTCAACTTTCCTTTTTCCCCTAGGCTTTCAGTCACAGACTCCACATGTAAAATCAGAAGCTGGAAGTGGCATTTTCCTCCCGCATTTTGGGCGGGCAGGCAGGAGGGGAGGTGGTCCAACTGCACAATGACAGATTATGCAAATCCTCCTGGAGCATCTAATCAATCACAGCAGCAGGAGAGGAATGCAGCTCATCTCCAAATTAGCCTCTGTCATCACATCCTAGTCCTCACATGAAGCATCCCCCTTCGGCTGGAATGACATCAGAGCAGCTCAGGGTCCTTGAAAGTCTGAGGGTTGATTAGCTGGAGGAATTGGCTGCTTCTGCCAATCACAACCCTGCAAAACCGCCTTGATACTCTTGTAGATATGAGGGAGAGGAAGGCTGACTACAGCAAACAGGAGGCACAGCAGCAGCACCGGTAGTAGTAACGGGAGCATACGATATTTGGGCGATTAAATAGTTCTCACAGCCTTTTTGCTGTAGCCTGGCTGCTCCACGGTGTAATCCCCAGGTCCAAGAAGGAAGCTGCATTTTTAACAGTGTGCTGAACAGAGGTTTGAATCATTCCAGCTGGCTGCTTGTTTTGAAAAGGACAGTCTGTGTATAAATGAGATGTGACTGTACTGGCAGAGTTCAGTTACTGGGGCTGGAGCAAGAGGAATCTTCCCAGGATGCCGCTCAGACAGCTGCTATCAATTGAAAACTCTTCCTAGTTTACCTGGAGCCATGTGAAGAGATTTGAATAGCAGATGTCTCTTCCCTGCACGCTAGGAAGAGGAATTCTTCTCTAGGTAAGCTATTCAGCTTCTGCACATACATACTGCTACCTTAACCTATACGTCTGGGTATATATTCACACAACTATATAGATAGTGCCTATACTCAGGGACAAGAAAACAGTTCATGAACAGGTATAAATATCCACACAGTGCCTGATTATGTATAGTAAGTACTTCAGAAAGCTGCCTAGAACCTGACAATCAAAGGATTATTTGAAAGTTTGAGATAGTCTTTGCCATGTTTGCATGCAAGTGCCCTTGACATAAATGGATGCATGGGGAAACAGCTGTCTGACTAAATATATGAAAGACCACAGAAGTTAGAGCATAGGAGTTATGTGAAGAAAGAAAGAGAATAAGGCTGCAATTCTTCTTTAATCTACTTCATATGCTTTGCTTTTATTTGCTACTATTTAGCAAATTTAAGCAAAACTAGTGCATTAAAATGACAATGTGAAAGCTTTCCAGGGATATATAGTAAACATGCACTATTTAATGTCAGAGTAACTGTATATTGAGGAAGTCAAGACCCACAGATCTAATCTCTTCCAGTGGTTTGATATCCAAACAACATCTGTCAGCAACATTTCTTTTTAAGCAGCATGATCATTCGTGATGTGGAAGCAAGTATTGTTTCAGGTAGTAAGAGGTAAACTGAAGAAATCAGTGTTTGCTTTTCAGATGACTACAGAGGCAGAACACAGGGGCAGCCCTGCCTTTTTATTTTAAAGCTGACACACTGGCTCCAAGTCACTGCTGCTGGGAATAAACACTCAAGCGAGAAATGTTTAGAGGTGAGGAAGTCTCCTTACTTCAAGCAGTACACTAATGTAACCACACATACATATGAAAACCCACGCAAGGATCCTTAAGCTCTCTTTTCCCTAGGGAATTTACTATGTCATTTTTTATTAACTTCTGCAGCTCTTAATCACATTGATTGGACTCTTCCTCCCTGTGAATAAATGCTGCAGAATCTGGCCTACCCCATCTAGCAGGTTATTCTGCCTTTTACATCTCTTAATGTAACCAGAGCAAAAGATAAGAAGAGATATAAGTCATTTGCACCCCGTCTCTTCAGTTTATGATCCTCCTGCTATAAGATGTTCAGCTTGTGGAAGAATAGCAGAATCTCCTTGTTCATAAAGTTTAAATAGTCGGGAATGTTGCCAGGTGCTTCTCTGGTTTGCCCCATCACATCTGTATACTTTCATCATGCAAGTTTTACCATCAGCCAAGCTGCACTGTCTGACTTGCTTTCTGAAATGCTGCTCTAAAGAAGGCAGGGAAGGGCAGGAGGAATGCCGAGTCACATTTAAATAAGGAAATTCTTGGCTTTCAGTTTTCTTCTGAATCTTACAAATTCAAATAATATGATCTGCTCAACTAGATTAGATGTTTCTAATGGCACTGCTCTGTGCAGAAGTTTAACATTGTGTATTAGTTTTTGTGCCATTTCCTCAAAACATGGCCATTTTTTTGATTCAAATAAACGCCTAATGTCTGAAAGCCTCAGAAATAAAAGCAGATGTATCTTAACCTCTTGTTGACCCCACTTTTTTCTGGGAGGCCAGACAAATGCTCCTCTAACTTACATTTCCTTCAAGTAAATCAAATCCAAAGGGTTAGATTTAAGCCCAGATCAGGACACTTGAGTGACTGACCTCAGACACATATATATGCCTCAATGTATAATTCCATTTCAGTCTGAACACCCTGGTAGCTCACACTATAAAGTTCTGGAAGTCCTATTAAAACTTTATGGATATTTAGAGGCTGAGATATCTGCTATATTGCTCTTTGTAATGGCACTGATCAAACTTAGCTGATGTGGCAGCATGCAGGACTCGTGAGTTTCACTAGATTTCAACTATTATTCAGTATAACTGGGAGAAAAATATCCTAATAGTAAAGCCTTTTTTTTTTTTAATGATTTTATTTTGAATCCTTACAGAACAGGAATTATCTCAGAGGTATAATGAGATACTTGAAGGAAAACATGCATACATATTGCAAACCCAGGGCAATCATCAAATAAAATGCTGATGAGTTACCAGTAGTTGTGACTATGAGTTTTCAGTTGGATAAACAAAAAATTACATTTGACCATATGCCACCAGGAGAGGATTTGTTTCTCACTGTATTTTTCTATAAGCAATAAGGGAAAAAATATAATGATCTCTTACCCCCCCCCCAAAATAGGTAACTTCTGTTTAGAAATCTTTGGTTTAGCCAACAATTTCGATTTGACTACTTCCAGCCACACAGCTGGCTGAGCTTCAGCTGCATGTATACACCGATGTTTGCTTCCATCAAGTGTTTGCTTTGCAAAGCTTTCATAATGCTTCAGCTTCTTAGGTGCATCCAAGAAGCTGCTTTCCATAGCTGCAAAACTGGCTTTTCTGAACATAGCAAACCCTGGGCCAAGAGCAGCAAAGCATTTCAAGCTGGGGACGTGGGTGGCTGAAGGAAAGGATATTCATAATTGTGCAGAAAACTGCTGTTTCCCCTGCCTGTGAAATCATTTCAGGAACAGGGTCCTGAGCTTAAGATGAGCCAAGGGCTCTGCATTCTTTCCAAGGTGAGGGGAGACTGCGTTTGAAACAACTTGCAAAGATGAAGGAATACAGTGTAGGGTGGCAGTTTAGCAGATCCCCTCTTCGCAGGCCTGGAACACAGTTGAAGACCATTAGAGCAGGTTGAGGCACTGGACTATGGGAGAAAGAGGGTCTCTGTTCTGGAAATTGTTTGGAGTATGAAGTCTCACATTTGGAGAAAGGCTGAAGAATGCCCCTATCACAGCAACAAATCTTCTTCTATTGAGATCTTAAAGCAATGCCCCTCATGAAGTGTAAACCACCCAGAAGAGTGCTAGATAAAAAACTTATTATTTTCCATCTATGTCAACATTTAAATTAGAAAATTTGATCTGGGCTGTAAAAAAAATGAAGCTCAGCTGCTCGAAGAAAATGAAACCCATGCATGTTAATCCCAAACACTTACTGCGTCTGTCAGTGATAATTACAATGAAATCCCAGATTCTTCTGAAATTAAGAGTTGCTATAGAAAAGTAATAATATTTTATCTAAATAGTACTGCCACCAGAATCAAATGGCAACAGCACAACCATGTCAGTATTTGATGGAGAAAACATAACTGGCACCAGATGTATTGTGATGAGATGATGTAAACTCAATTCTGAAAGAAGTATTTACACCTATTTCCTTCCCTCTGGCTACAGGAAGGGTCCCAACTGCTTTCCCCAAGTGTAGGAAAGAGGAACAAAATGTTCCTCCCCCCTCTGCTGTAAGGATGGGTTTTGCAGAGCCAGGACAAATACAGAAGTAGAAGCCAGGGCAGGGTGAGCTTCTTTCACAAGAAAAGAAGCAAAAAGAAAGGGGTTCCCTCCTCTTCCCTGGAAGCTAATAAAGAACTGTACTAGCTTACTTAGCTTGGCCAAGGGAAAACCTGCCAAATCTCTGGTTTGCTTTCCACTACCTAGGGAAGTCATTGTTTTCCCCGCTTCGTCATGTCACAGGGAAGCTACCATGCAAGTTTCTTTCCTCACCTAAAACACACTAAGACAAGGTATTCCCTAGCACAGCCCCAAAACAGACAGTGTAACACAAACAACAATTTCAAATCTGTACATGTACAGCTGCTGATGCATTCTTCCCAGGCCATGCTTCAGGTAACCTTACAGAGCGCATGCTTCTGCACCCAAAGCTGCTGGTGCAGAATTTCTGCTAGGACAGTCTTGTGACTTCAAAGATAGTTCTTAGCAGCCATGAGAGCAGCATCTGTCACCCCGTCACAGCCCACAAGAGCACTGAGAAATGCACGCAGAGCTAATGCTCAGGACTGATGCATCTACAGCTATAGAGTTTTACTAATGGCTGGGGTTTAATCTCCCATATGTATATAGCATTATCAGACACACAGCAGGCAGAATAATGCTAACGGGCTCTCCCCTGAGCAGAACTGGGCATGAAACAAATCCTCCTGAAGGACTATCCACAGCTACTTATTTCAGCCTGCACTCTGCCAGGCTTCCACAGAAAGGACTGCATTTAGCTTTTAGTGTATAAATAAGTGTTCTGATAAATAATTAATAGTAGCTGCTGGCCATAAAAGAGGTGACTTGAGAAAGTTAAAACAGTCTGCCATTAAATATGCACCTACCTCTATGTTCTAGTTTCAGGGGATGTTTTATCCAACATCCTTTCTTTTTGCATGGGGCCATATTTTGCAAGGAGAAGGCCAGATCTCAAGTTCCAGAGCCTCAGGGCATTCTTTGAATTTATTCTCTCTCACGAGCATATTTATCACCCCCTAAACCACCAGAGGGGAGGGCAAGTGGTCAGTGATTCACAAAGAAAGTTTTGGAAATGAGAGGAAAATGCAGTAGTGTCTAGACTTCTGAGTAAGATACAGAAATTACACTTACTGGTCACGTTTCATTTTCAAGCCCTCACAGCTTCCTTTAAAAAATTATTCATTACTAGTCAGTAGACTGCATTTGCTGTGCCATTTTAAATGGCTTCACCGTCCTACCCCACACAATTGCACTGTTACGGGTGTGCAATTTCTTCCTGCACGGGGCACAGTACAAACCAGTAACTACTGTTAGCAATTGAGGGTCCAGGTTTGTTTTGAATTGACAGACCTTAAAGAGGAATTGGTCACTCTACCTCATTAGTAACTGAAAAGCAGTGATTCTGGGATTTCATCTTCCAACATAAGAGCAACTGCATCTTCTACTATTTCTATATATTTTTTCTATATTTCTATATATTATTTCTGTATTACTATTTCTATATTACCTGCAACAGTTCATGTTACTATAATTTGTACTGGGGGGGGGGGGGGGGGGGGGGGCAGGAAAGAAAAAATAAATAACACAATTAAAGATCAAGAGGCCACTGTGGTATGTACTGTTCGCATGAAAAACAAATCAAACAGTGCATGCTCCAATTCTTGACACTCTCCGACTCCCATAGGACTAACTCTTA